TGAAGCCAGACAAAGAAAACACAGGGAAAAGATGCTAGGTCGCCCAACCTGCCGTTCTTTACAGTTGCTTGGATTGGACCAGCTGTCAAACTCAAAGTCATTGAGGGCCGCGTCAGGGTTGTGTTTGATCTTGGGGGCCGGGATGGGCATGGCCAGGGTGGGCGTGGCCAGCTCGACGTCATGTCATGTGCTGCTTCCAGAGCCAGATCTAAGCACACTGAAGTCCGGATTTGGCCCCCGGGTTTGACACCCCTGGATTAGACCATCCATAATTCTTAGCCAGGTGAGCTGTGGCCAGTCTACCTTCAGAATCCTGCTATTCAACTTACCACCAGGAGAGGCTGGGCGCTTATTTTGCTACTTTATTTTGGTGGGTCATCCCACCAAAATCCAGAGCAGAAACAGCCAAAGTGTGATAAATCCCCAAATCAGTGTGATAAGTGAAGCTCAGCACCTTAAGAGAACTTCACCATCTCCATAGATAGTCTTTTAACAAAGTGGTGGCTCACCTTCCCAATTATAGACAGAAAATGTCTCCCCGCTGGGAATACACACTGTGTAAAGGTAAAGATTTCCCTCGCACATATGTGCTAGTCATTCCTGACTCTAGGGGGCAATGCTCATCTCTGTTTCAAAGCCAAGAGCCTGTGCTTGTCTAAAGACATCTCTGTGGTGATGTGGCCAGCATTACTAAATGCCAAAGGCACACGGAACGCTGTTACTTTCGCACCAAGGTGGTCCCTATTTTTCTACTTTATATGCTTTTGAACTGCTAGGTTGGCAGAAGCTGGGACAAGTCACGGGAGCTCACTTAGTTAAGTAGCTTAAGGGATTCAAACTGCCGAACTGCCGACCTTCTGATCGACAAGCTCAGCGTCTGAGCCATCACATCCTTTTGATACATACCGTGACAACCTCATAAACCAGCGCTTGCAACAAGAGCTTCTGTCCTCCATTGGAAGCCATCTTCAGTGATCCATTCAAAGCCATGGTGGGCTCTTTTGGAATGGAGACTCCATAGTCAGCGATGCTGTTTGTCCAGCTGTTCAGTGATTTCTCCCATGGAGGCTGCAGAATCAAAAGAAAAGGCACATTATCTCTAATCTTACACTGGCATTTATCTGCTTAAAGCTGTTTTATTTGCTCTTCCTTCTGATTTTAATTTCACAGTGCTTTACAGGAATTCTCAGCATAACATAAAACAACACGATCACAACTTCATTTTAAAGACAAAAGACCTGGATGAACACATAAAAAAGGCTTTGGCTAGAAAAACTACAACACGGCATCTGGAGAACCTCTCAAAATAGCATTATATATTTTTTATATTTCCTCTAGTTAACAACAATTGTATTTCTGGAAGATACCAAAGGAACATGTTCAGCAGAAGACTTTAAATACACAACTTCATTAGAAAGGAAGACTGAAATAGGAAGATTCAAGAATTCAGGGTTCAAAGAATTTAGAGTTTCAACATTAAGCATCTGTATCTTGAATTGGTGGAGAAGAGGTTAAAATACTTTGGAAAGTGGTATAAAATTGAAGTATTGTGCCTCCTGGACCAGCAGAAAGTGTGCTGGCTATTTTCTGCCTCCTTTTGAAACTCAAAAACCTCTTCAAGGATAATGGATAGTAATACAACTGGAAGATTCGAGGCAGAGGGGTACTGGGACTAAATTGTCACTGTTCAAAAATCATAGAAGCATATATACATGTACAAGGACGCGGTGTCTCAATGGCTCAGATGCTGAGCTTGTCGATCAGAAAGGTCGCCAGTTTGGCGGTTCGAATCCCTAGTGCTGCATATAGAGTGAGCTCCCGTTACTTGTCCCAGCTTCTGCCAACCTAACAGTTCAAAAGCACGTAAAAAATGCAAGTAGAAAACTAGGAACCACCTTTGGTGGGAAGGTAACAGCGTTCCGAGTGCCTTTAGCATTTAGTCCTGCCGGCCACATGACCACGGAGACGTCTTCGGACAGCGCTGGCTCTTTGGCTTTGAAACGGAGATGAGCCCTGCCCCCTAGAGTCAGGAACGACTAGCACATATGTGCCGGGGGAACCTTTACCTTATATACGTGTATGAAAAGTCTTCATATATACAATATTTTGTCTGGTTTTACTTTCTGTTTCTTTCCCCTCTTACTGTTAAGTCAAAAAAATAAAAGCGATTTAAAAAAAAAGAAATGCAGCCACTGAGCTGTGTGTGTGTGTGTGTGTGTGTGTGTGTGTGTGTGTGTGTATGCACGCCTGTGCATGCTTGCATGCTTGTAAATTGTAAATTTAATGAATTTATATGCCGCCCAATCCCGAAGGACTCCGGGCGGCTTACAAGATATAGGACTAAAAAGACACACATACACACATACAGAGTGATGTCTTAGTAGGTCAACTTTCAGCAGTGTATTTGCTTCCCTCTAGCGGCTACAAAAATGCAGGCAGGATTTGCTGCGCTTAGATTAGTCGGTGTGTGCATTTGTGCTTACAATACATTTGTAAATGCTGGACTTGAAGTTATTAGTGGACCTTTTAAATGGGCAAAGGAGTGGGAGGGGTGTAAAAAAGGGGGCGTGGACAATTGAAGGCAATATAGGTACTCCTTGAATGATAACCATTCGTTTAGCAACCATCTGAAGTTGTAACAGGGGACAGTAAAGATTTCCCTTTTCCAGTCGTGTCTGACACTAGGGGGCAATGCTCATCTCTGTTTCTTAAGCAGAGGAGATTTTCACGGTTATGTGGCCAGCATGCCTATATGCTAAAGGTGCACAGAACAGTGTTACCTTCCTACCGAAGTGGTACCTATTGATCTGCTCGCATTTCCATGCTTTTTAACCGCTAGGTGGGCAGGAGCTGGAGCAAGGAACGGGAACTCAACTGTTGCATGGTGTATGGGTACTGAACCCGGGCTGTTACAATAGCACTGAAAAAAATAAGTGGATTAGAACTGGTCTTCACATTTTCAACTGTTGCAACATCTCCACAGTCAGATAATTAGGAATTTGGGCACTTGACAATTGGCATGTATTTACAACAATCGCAGCATCCTGGGAAGAGTGGTGGCGGTGGCGTGGTTAGAATCAGTGGTGGGATTCAATTTTTTTTTACTACCGGTTCTGTGGGCATGGTGTGGCTTGGTGGGGGTGACAGGGGAAGGATACTGCAAAATCCCCATTCCCAGGGAAAGATTCTCCATTTCCACCCCACTCCAGGACAAGGATACTATAAAATCTCCATTTCTATCCCACTCCATGGCAAGGATACTATAAAATCTCCATTTCCACCCCACTCTAGAGCAAGGATACTGCAAAATCTCCATTCGCTCCCCACTCCAGGTCAAGGGTACCTTAAAATCTCCATTTCCACCCCACTCCAGGGCAAGGATACTGTAAAATCTCCATTTCTACCACACTACAGGGGAAGGATGCTATAAAATTTCCATTTCTACCCTACTCTAAAGCAAGGATATTGCAAAATCTCCATTCACTCCCCACTCCAGGTGAAGGATACTGTAAAATTTCCATTTCTACCCCACTCCAGGGGAAGGATACTGTAAAATCTACATTCCCTCCCCACCCCACTAACCTCCTTTCCAGCTCCATTCTCCTGTGCAGGACAACAAAAGAAGACCCAACTAATCAGCTGGGACTCGGGGAGCAGCAAATAGATGGGAGCAGAGGCAGCCAGAGGTGGTATTTGCCGGTTCTCCGAACTACTCAAAATTTCTCCAACTAGTTTGCCAGAACCAGTCAGAACTGGCTGAATACCACCTCTGGTTAGAATGAAGTATTGGATGCTAATTCACTGCACCATAAGAAGAATGGGTTCCCATAGAACTCCATGAAAGGACCTCGTCCATACCTTTATTGGGATGTGGCCCACACTGTCCTCCAAAGGATGACCACGGATGAGACCATGGGCTTCAGCCAGTTCTGCACAATCGCTCGGAGGTGAGGGAACCCCGTCAGAAAGGGGAGCCATGAGGGACTCCATTTCGTGGGAAGTGGAAGGGATTACTGAGAGGGGTGCTGCTTGTCGGCTCCGGTGGTGGTACATGTGGCTTCCTGAAGCTTGGGAATCCAAACCAGGCATCGATTTCCTACAGAAAAGAATGAGACAATTATTGTTCACCAAGGACAGTTCCCATAGACCCTGGTCCCAGGCTGATCACAAGCTTCATGATCTTAGTAGCAAATGCTGCTCCGAATTGACGTTATATTTCCTTGCTCAAGAATGGTGGAGATTTGTTATGTAGTTTTGTGCAGTTTTGTTTATTCATATTTGATGGTTTGCTTGTATTTAGTTTTCATTGTAAACCTCTAATCCTCTCTCCAATCTGGTGGCCTTAAAACAGTGGTGGGATTCAAACATTTTTATTGCTGGTTCTGTGGGCATGGCTTGGTGGGTGTGGCAGGGAAAGGATACTGTAAAATCTCCACTCCCTCCCCACTCCAGGGGAAGGATACCGCAAACTCCCCATTCCCTCCCCATTCCTGGGAAGGATATTGCAAACTCCCCATTCCCTCCCGATCAGCTGGGACTCGGGAGGCAGAGAATAGATGGGGGTGGGGCCAGCCAGAGATAGTATTTACCGGTTCTCCGAACTACTCAAAATTTCCGCGATTGCTTCTCCAGAATGGTCAGAACCTGCTGAATACCACATCTGCCTTATACCTCCTTTGCATAATAGCTACCATCATACAGAATAACAGAGTTGGAAGGGGCCTTGGAGATCTATAGTCCAACCCCCTGGCTGCCCAGTCTCTTCTTGAAAGCCTCCAGTGACGGAAAACCCACAACTTCTGGAGGCAAGCTGTTCCACTGATTGTTCTCACTGTCGGGAAATTTCTCCTTAGTTCTAGGTTGGAACTAAGTTGGTAAATCAAGGCAAATCATTTCCTTGTCTTCAAGGAAAAACAAACAAACCCCAACCGCCTTTTGAAAAGCACCTTTGGGACACGACAGAGTCCAGTTTCTGCTTGGTTGCCTTGTTTTCACAGGGGCCCAACATGCATCAATTCCACACTTCCCAACTCTTTGACAACATTCACCCTTGAACACAGGCAGAAGTCAAACGGGGCAGAGAAGACAGACAAATGGGCTCAACACATTGGAGATGACATCGACACAAGACTTACTTCAGGTAATTGTTGCGAAAGCTGACACAAGCACAGAAGACGATGCAGAGGAGGCAGATGGCCACTGTGACGCCGGTGATAGAATGAACTAAGATATCTGCAGGTGAAGGACAAAGAAGAACATGGAAGCAGAGAGGAAGACTTCCTACTTTCCTTCTAACAACCATCCCGGAAAGTAGGCTGGGCAGAGAGAGAGAGAGAGACAGAGAGGGAGGGACTGGTCCAAACCTTCCCCATGAACTTCTGTTGCTGAGGAAGGACCTGATCCTGAATCCCCATGATGTCAATTCCATGTCAAGATATACCACAAAGATTCTCTAAAGTGTTAAACTTCTCTTCTCTTGTTATTTTGTAATTTTCTTCTCTTCTATTCTACTGTTATTTTTAAATTTTCTTCTCTTTTAGTTATTTTGTAATTTTCTTTTCTTCTATTCTATTGTTATTTTGTAATTTTGTTCTATTCTTGTCTTGTCTCGTCTCCTCTTTTCTACTGTTATTTTGTACTTCTATTCTACTCTACTGTTATTTTGTAATTTTCTTCTCCTCTTCCCATTCCCTTCCTATTCCTATTCCTAAGAGCCAAGGTGGCGCAGTGGTTAAATGCAGCACTGCAGGCTACTGCTAGATCAGCAGTTCAGCGGTTCAAATCTCA